TTTTTTTTGAAGTTAAATAGCATTAGATGCAAATCTTTATTGATATTCAATATTACATTACATCAAACATCCTTTGTAATATATTGACTATAACTAAATGCTAACCTATTAACTTTCATCTGATACTCAGAAACCTATCACTTAATGACTTTTTTTTGTGATATCAGGAAGCTATAGGAGGTAAAAATCCTATCACTAGTTTTAAACTACCTAACCTATAGAGCTTATGTGCTTATAAGGGGCTTATACTGTTAATTATCTTATATAGATTACCCTTCACATCACACCTCTCTCAATCCATTACATAAGCAGAAGGAAATCTTCGATGCAAGTATATATTCCCTAGTGAATGCTTCGGTTTTGACTACTGATTGGACACTACCAAATCTAGGAGCCATTTTGACCAAGTGGGGTATGACTCCTTAAGGATCTATGTAAATGTGGGTTTGCAAAACATCACCTATGGATCGATTCTTAATCTCCTAGTAGACACTTCAGATTCGGACTGATTGGCATAAGCTACCAAATTTAGGGATCATTTGACCAAGCAGTGTGCAACTCCTATGTACTCTGTCTCGTTGCATAGCTAGCCATGTCATTCCATGATGGCATCAGATTGGTGGTCTTTTCAAGACTTTCTACTTTCAGTAATTAACAGTAGGAAAGGCTTAATTGGGTTAATTAAGATGAAGCACAGTCCAGTCTATACTTCCAAATATATGGTTGGTTCTTGATAACTTGTCTGATGACTATTGTACCACTTCCAAACAATTATCGTGCCACACACCTTTTCTTGGAGATCACAATCCTATTGTTATACTAGATCAGCGTGCAAATAACTTTTTATAGGAAACAGGGCTTTTACAGGTTATAGCTCCAGATACTATTTTTAATTTGGTTTAACCACCTTCACCTGGGGTTGAACTAATATCTTGTGATCTGACCTGTGGAGTGTTAACCACTTCACTATAGACCCACAGGTCAAATATAGTATCTGATATTATGATTTGTTAAATATTGTTTTTTATAAGAAATTAATAGTAACTTTAAAAAAACAATAAATTTTAAATATTTAATTTTAAATATTAATAGAAATTAGAACTTTATTAAGATCAAAAAAGTATCTTTTTATACATGTAAACTTTATATAATATACAAATATAAATATAAATAAATATAAAAATATATATACTTAATTAATATAAAGAAATAATAAAAAATAATAATAATAAAAATAAAAGAAACAAATATATATAATTTATAATTTTATACATTTAATTTGATTATATTAGTTTATAGTAATTAATTAATACTGTTTTGATAATATGATATATTATTAAAAGTTAGAATTATACCATATATATATTTGATAATTGTTTAAAATATATTTCAAACTTGTAAATTATTAGAAACAAATTAGATACCTTTTAGAATATCCAGATTACTAGATACAATATGAATCCTGTAGTGCAGTTACAGGTCAAATTATTATATTAAACTTGGAAATATCAACTACTGTACTATTGAATCACAAGTTTTAAAATTTTATAACTTAATTTTTATAAAATATAACTTTATATATACTGTATATTTTTATATGATTTTTATTTATATTAAAAAATTTTCAAAAAATTTTGAATATTATCATATATTTTATAATTATAAAATGGAAATATAATTTTTTTTAATTTTTTATGCTATATTATATACAGTACAACAAATTATAATGAAAAAACATAACTTTATTATAATAATTTTTTCAAAAACAGAAAATTTTTGAGACCTATAATTATGATCTTAAAAATTTGCATTGTATATATACTATTTAAAAAAATACCGACCAAAAAATCTTATTTAGCATTTCGTTACCTTCAAGAATAATTGCTTAAATACTATTAAAATTATTTAAAGAGTTTGAAATAGATTTTATTAAAACTTGCTGATTTTTAATTAAACGATTTTTATTCTTTTACTTTATTAAAAAAATTTATATATTTTTATATTTGTATTATTTAATAAATTTGAATTTTCCAAAAATTTTTAACAATAATTCCAATAACAAAATTCAAAAACATTCTTAAATAAATATACTCTTTACACTTTTATACATATATATATTATTAATTAGTTGTTAAAATATAATAAAAAACAAGTTTTTTTATCACACTGTATACTAAGTTTAATTTTAAAATTTATAGTGTACATTTATATTATTTTACAGTAGACATATTTACAATGTAAAATATCTTTTACACATACTGATACTAATTAATTTAAACATTTTTGCCTAGTATGTATATCAACAATTAGTTTAATTTTCCCGACACGTAGATCAAAAAGAAAGAGTAATATCGAATGACATTCCATAATTTCCGTTGAAGAATAAAACTCATTGCATGGCTACATACTGAATAGTAAATCATAAATTCACGGCCGCTTGTCTTTAAGAAACAGAAAGTATATTAAGTGTGAATTACATAACAACTTTCCTCCAAATTGACATTAATTTACACCTAAAACTTAACCGATCCACTTAAATTCCCTATCTCATTGCTAACAGCTGATAAAATATACGCGTGAAAATAATAACATGCACTATTCCAATAAACACAAAGTAAATAATATAAATTCTAAAGATAATATAGTATACTTGTGTACATACAAAGTATAGGTATACATATTAAGTGTACATATATAAACTCTTAAATGCTATAATAATTATAACTATAATATTTCATAAAATAACATTACCTTATATTGAATCGACCACTATTATTAGTCTAATTACTCCTGGTTATTAATTAAAAGAATAAGAGTTTATTAAAAATCTTAATTATAATTATATGAAATCCGATATTTTACCTGCGATGTATTTCCACTCTCTTCGATCTCCAATTCATCTTCATTCTCATCCTATTAATAATTGTTGTCATAAGTAATGAATTATATATTTTCAATGCAATGATGAGAATAAAATGCATCTTTCTATTAACGATTCACGTAAATTAAATATTTCTTTGATACATGATAGTGAATTCTTACCTCGAATTCATCCTGTTGATTAATTAAATGCTTAATAAATCGACCAATTATGTAATTTGATGTTTAAAAGACATTTACTTACCTGTGAATCCATTATTGACGAAGGTTCTGACGAAATGTCCGAATATGATTGTCCCATTTTATATACCAGTCTATCCGTGTCATTTTGGGCAAGTACATATCCATTTTTCAGTGCCTTGTTATACCAACTAATTGCCATCTTAAAATTCTTTTTCATGCCCACACCTTTCTCGTAGCACCAACCCAAATAATACATCGCTACTACATTCCCTTTTTTTGAGGCATTTTTGTAATGTTGTATAGTCTTTTTCGTATCTCTATTGATTCCGAATCCAGATTTATAACATGCGCCTATACTATACTCTGCATTAATACTACCACCTTCAAATGCTTTTGTGTACCACATAAAGCAAAGCTCCTCATTCTTTGGTGTGCCATATCCAAAACTGTAACAATCGGCCAAGAAATCTTGAGCAACCGGATAATCCATCTTTGAAGCAGTAAGGAAAGAATGAAAACTTTTCTTTAAATCCTCTTCTGTTCCAATCGCCTCTAAATGAAAATATCCTAGCAGGGTGATATATTGAACAGTATTCTGATTGTTCAATAGCCAATCGTAAATCTGAAATGGTTGTCGCTTATTTGAAATTATGGAATCACAGATGTACCTGGTTATGCTTTCATCAGAATGTCCCTTATCCCTCATCTCTACAAAATTCACCATTATTTCATCAACTATTCGTCGAATTGCATCGTTTTCATCGCGACTTATGGTTGGCATTGGACTTTGACTTCGAGAGCGTGGCCGCGGACTTGCAGATCTGGATAATGATCCCGGTATCGGACTTGGATTACGTGAAAGTGTATGTGGGCTTGTGCATCGCGAACGCGATCTTGAGGGTTGTGGACTTGAACTCCTTGAATAACTGGTGGTGATTATCTTCGGAACTTTCAGTGTCGCCATTTTCCTTGTATACAAATTACCACTTAGTTAACTTAAGATTCCAAAATCGAAGACGATCTCTAGCAAAGGTTAAATAAATATTTATATGCCCGTGCTATTTAATATAAAGATATGCGAAAGGTGTTGTATTGTGAAGGATTTATACTGAACAATTGGGTAGTAGGGACTCTCGAGCAAAACTTCAAAACAGTGCGTCATATTTATGAATATGTATCACAGTCCCCCTTAACTGATATCCTTCAATCTATTTGAGGTAGTAATAACAATCTAAATATACTATATAGTATTAAATCACGTTTTACTATTTTTACATATTAACTATAGTTTTATTATTATAATTTTATTACTTCAACAAATCGTAAATCACAAAATAGACAATCATTAATAATTGACTTAATTAAAAAATATACGTATAGTAATATATAATTTTTGTTTTTGTTTTTTATATAATAACAATATTAATAAAAATAAATCAATAGTAACAAGTTAATATAATTAATTTTAATATAAGTTTATATATATTTGAAATAATTTATAAGTAATAAATTTATACAAGAAATACAAATATAAATTAAATAAAATATGTTAAATAAAATCCAATTAATTAAAAAAAAAAAATATTCATTAATATAGTTTTAAAAAAGTTTATTAATTTGGAAATATAAATATTTATAATATAAAATTAAAAATAAAAAATAATTATTCATATAATTAAATTATAGTAATTTTTTAATTAATAACTATAGAAAGTAAAAAAAATTTAAACAAAATAATATTAAATACAAAATTATACTATTAATTTATATTAAAACATTTGATAACAAAAATTAAAAAATAAAAAAAATAAAAAACAAGTTATATTATCTAAAATCAAATAATTAGTTTATAAATTAATGTAAATATTTAAATATTATTAATATTAAAAAAATTTTTTTTGGAATTATAAATTTGAATTAAGAATAAAAAAAGATTTTTAAAATGTTTTAATAAAAAACATGTTAATAAATTATTTAATTTTATTAATAATTACAAATTTAATTTTAATTTAAAAATTTAAATTATTATTTCAAGAAATATAAAAGAATATATGAATATAAAAAACTAATTTAAAAATAATATGAATTTATGGTATATAACTTATTAAAATAATTTGCAAATTATGATTTTATTTAACAAATGAATTATAATTTGAATTTATAATATATTATATAACTATAAAGGTAATTTGCAATTTTTAACTTTACTAAATAAAAAGCTTAAGATTTTATTTAATAAATTATATTTACAAGTTTTATGTGGTTAACAGATAAGTTGAATTAAATAATTTATACATATATTTGTTTTTATATATTGTATGATAGATATTTTAAGAAAAACATATCTCTAATGTATGTTAATAGTAATTAAATATTAACTTTGCTTACAGTAATCATTTTAATCTATATTGAAAAAATTTTTTTAAATCAAAATACTAGTTAGATGATGCTGAGAAGTTATGAATACTTATTCAGAATTAAAAAGTGACCTGTTAACAAAGGTTACATGATTTGGTGATCTTACAAGCAAAGCAATAACCTACCTCAGATCTAATTTCTTTTTCATGTGAATCAGATTTCCGGTCTTGCTTTACATCCTCAAATGAAATCTTGTCGGAACTTTAGTTGCTCTTAAAAACTTAATACACAAGGGCTTGATCTAGATCATTTGACTTGCCCGGTCGCTTGAATATATTGTGATTGTGCAACATGGCAGATCAGATAAATTTGATTAGTCGTCTTCTCATCAGAAAAAAATGTCTTCCCGTTCTCAAACGTTAAACGCGCCCACACTGGTCACTGTACAGAATCCAGAATCTCTAAAAAATTTTGTTCTCGAATATTCAATTCATGCCGGTTCGAGGAGATTTAACAAAGATTTGGTGAGAATATTTCCTGAAATAGAGGATCAAATTGATAGATGCCTTGTTATTCCGGTATTTTTGAAGTGTGAGAATGAAATAGTGGGAATCGGAAGCGAGATTGATAAGGAAAGAGACAAAAAACTCATAGATGTGAGACATCCGTTATTATAATGATCCTTTTTTTTTTTTCCATAATCATAAGTGTGTAATTTGAGATTGATGAAATTTAATAAGTTTGTCGAATGGGGAAAGTTGATTTGCCAAAAGTTAAGAGACCGTGGTTATTGGGCTGATCTTACAGATCCTTGTTCGGGATATCCCGTAAGTTATTAAAATGATACCTTTATGCTTTTAGCAGCTGTTAAACCCTTTTTCAAACTCTTTTAATCCAGATATTTTCCAATCGTGGACCATCAATTTATCCAGATGTACAAGGGGCCGAACATCTTTTAAAGTATTCAATTCAAAATGTAGGATGCTGTCATATTCTCCTACATCCGAGGTGGGGTGGTAAAGTTTATCCAGGAACCTTATTTACCATTGCCGGTGTGAATGACATTAACCAAGTAATTAGTGAGAGTGTCGTTGATGTAAATGAGCATCTTTCGTTTTAATCATTTAATTGTTTCCAAGGCAAAGGTCGCTGAATCAGTATCGAAAAAATATTTGATGAATAAATTTTGTTATGTGCAAAAAATTTATCTCTCTATCGATGTCATCTAAAGCCGAGTCTTCAATATTATTATATTATTTTGGAGTCTAATTTGCAATTTATTCTGTGTAACAATTGCGCACATCAAAGTCTACATGATACGCGTTAGTAATCATTCTCGTCTGTTTTTATTTGATTTATTTGATTTTGGCATTTAAAATTCATCTAAAACGTTAAAACACGAAATAATTTATTCTGTGCTAACCAGAAAATGTTAAAAATCCGAGATCTTTGTCCATGCCACTTATTCACACAAATTTTCGAGCGATCGCCAAAGTTTCTCACGCCTTTGATCTTTCTCTGCATTAAAAATATTTTTCAGGTTTGTACCTGTTCTCGGATGCGATCATTAACAAAGAATCAAAAAGTATCGTTTTGAGCAATCGGAAAAAAGTCCGTCATACGATTAAGCATGTTTTCATCATTCGTAACTTTTTTCTTTTTTATATACTGTAGTATGTTTTAAACTATATTTTATGGAACCGAGAAAAAACAATTTCTTTTTTAAATGATATTATATATTACTCCTAATATAGTCATTATCAATATCATATCGCGTGTCAAGTTGAATCACGTAAATATTATTTATTTTACTGTAGATTTCACAAAATAATTTATTACTGATCTAATTTAATTTGTGCATTTTTTTATCAAACATGCATAATTGACGGTTTCGAAAATTATTTTTGCACTGTTAATAATAAACGACATTATGTCATTGAGCTTAATAAATAATAGTTAAAATAGCAATTACGACATGTAAAATATGTATAAAAATATAAAGAAAGTGCTTGAACAATTTACAGTATTTTTATATATTCATTTTTAGTCGAAATAAGTTTACATGCATTCTGTACGCATATTTGAAATTAATAGATCAATTATAAAAAAATTATTAGATATCATATATAAAAAGATATTTGAAATAATAATAATAAATCCTTTATTAATTTTTTTGATTAATTTTTTGTTTTTTAAAAAAAAAGATATTTGAAAGAATCATTGATCTTATTTTCATTAATACTGTATATTCGAGTTTTGAAAATTCAATTCTATTTTATGTTTTGTCTCTTTTTAATAGCAAAATTAATAAATTATATACTGTATGATTTCTTTTTAAAAAATATTGAAAATTAATTCATTACCATAAATTTTTAAAATAAAAATCATTAGATGATTCAGAATGCTTCTCACTTAAGGTATTAATTCATGCAAATATATATATACATATAATTTGTTTTTTATAAAACAGGATATACAATATATAATAAAATAATTTTAATTGAAAATGATATATAGTATAATATTTTTCTATTTAAAACTATAATAATAGATATATGGTGCATGTTGTATTTGTTTATAAAAAGTTATTTACATCGAGTTTTTTATAGTAATTCATTATGGGAACCTCCAAAGGTACCATTATTACCTCGATCTCGATTATTATTGCGTCAAAAAATCATTACTTCTCCTGTAAACAAGAAAATTGTTTCATTGTCATTCCTATTAAGGATTTGAACTGCGCACAGGAAACAATGCGTCATTTGTGTAATGCATGAATGACTGAAACAAATTCTTTTATGCAAGATGCAAATGAGATTTTTAAACCATTAAGCAAAAGAGGCGTTGCAAATTTTTCCGAGTTCTCGCGTTCAAGTGTGAACATCCCGCTACAAATTTTTCGTGTCGATATTACGTTACTTTGTAGACATCACTCCAAACTGATTGATGCGGAGAAATGATGCCGTTTTTTTAGTATGATTTGTTCTAAATTAAAGGACCGACCAGTTGATGAGATGCTTTTACAACCAACAAATTGATCCGTAATGTTATATGAATTTGAATACTAATGTAATAGGTGTGTGCGCAAGTATTGTATATGTGAAATATGATTTGATTATTAAACAGGTGAGTATACAGGAAGATATATATATATATATATATATTCGAAGAGATGATATTTATTAGTGTAGAGATGTTCATTTAAAAGTCTCACATATCTACGATTAATTTGGAAGGAAATTTAGTGTTGGATAGAAGAAAAAATTCAATTTCCAAAATAATTATTTTTCGAAAAGCATCTGATCCTCACCTATTCGGATTCGTTCGATTCGGAATTACCTTCCTTCAACAATTCTTCTAGGGGTTCTCGCGCGTCTGTGTTTCCATATTCTATGGCTTTCTTATACCAGTTTATTGCCTGTTCTCGATCTCTCTCAACTCCCAGTCCTAGATCATAACATTGCCCTAATAGAAACATCGCTGATCGGTTTTCTTTCTTTGAGGCATTCTTGTAATGTTGAATTGCCTTGACCAAATTCTTTTTCACCCCAATCCCCATATCGTAACAATATCCTAAACCGAATTCACCGTCGGTGCTACCATTGTGATTTGCCTTCTGATACCACTCGAAACTTAACTCCGGCATCTTCGGTGTGCCATGACCAAAGCAATAGCAATCGGCGACTAGATCTTGCGCAACATAATATTCCATTTTTGCAGCCGTCAAGAATAAGTGAAACCCTTTACGCTTATCTGTTCGCTGGGTACCTATTCCTTGGAAGTAAAAGAATCCCAATAGCGTTGTGTATTGTGCCGTATTTTGATTATTCCTGAGCCAGTTGAAGAGTTGATGTTCTTCGTAAATTTGCGTACTAATGGTTTGACGAATGCAATCGGCTACAGAAGAAAAATTGTAGCCTCTCTCCCGTGCGCTCACAAAAGTCAACACAATTTCATCGACGTATCTTCGTAGGGCATCATTTTCATCACGGCTGATGATAGGTTGCGGACTTAAGCTACGTACTGAACTTGCGTTAGATCTCGGTTTTCGGAGTTTCGGTGATTTGGGTGAAATGCTGAGCGTAGATGTCATGCTGGCCATTGTAACGCAAGAGATAGGATGGTCTTAAGTTATATTCTTAAGGAGTATCTGGAACGAAAGGATTATTATAGAGAAGAGAAACTGGTGATTTGAGGAAGAAGCTTGGATGGATGGAGGGGGAAGGGGTTTCGTATCTATCTGATAAGTGAAGCAAATTTTAAGTAATTTCCGGACAATTGTAACCATTGATGCATTAAGGGTTTATTGTTAGAAGTAAAATGTGTAACGAAAAAAACGATGACCTCATCAATCTTTATTTGGTCGATACCGATTGTGGAATCCCAAAAAAAAATCTTCTGTCCCACTGTGCATTGACTTTCAGCCTAGCCAGATATGACAGAAAGATATTTGTAACACCAATAGAAAGCAATTTTGGGGGTGCACATACATACACAATCATACAGTACATACCCATACCCTACAATACTACAAACGCTATACATACTATCCTCTATTCATCACGTTTTAAAGCGTAAGGCACATTATTTTTACGTAAGTAATTCACACCGTAGTTTTTCTTGTCAATCTGGAAAATCAAAACTTCATCTGAGAATATTTGAAATCCATAAAGTTCATAATGAAATCAGGTTGTTTGCAAAGAAATCACACTTGTAGAACTCAAAGTATGCATGCAATTAAGTGTCCAAACATGAATTAATTTATACACTATATGGTAATTTATCCTGGGTTTACCCAAAGGTCAATATACAATACAACAACGGTTGGTCGATCTACCCATTTGAATTCATGCATACATGCAATCATTGTTGATCAGTAGAAACCTTGTGTAACATACACAGAATAAATACCGTCCCTTATGGTGAATTATTAAGGATAAGAAATCAGAACTTGAAGATTCATTTTTTTTTTCCTTTTGCTCTCTCTCTTTGCCAGCAATAATGCAAGCAGGTTCAGAAAGGAAATCTAAGCGTGCTAATGTCACCGGAAAGATTACTTGTCCGCATATAAATCTCTATTTAAATCAAGAGTCACCAACCGCAAAGATTGATTCGTCGGCTTTCAAGGTTCGATTTCTTATCTTTGTGTCATAAGGTCATCTCTCAGGATGTTTTGATATTGCAAGTCCGAATAGCACGCAAAATTCTTATTATCATCGTAAATCTGGGGATGGAGGTTCTTAACGTTGTAACCTTTTTTTTAGAGACAAGTCGTCAACTATACGCTCCTATGTGATTCGTGCGATATGAAAATGCCGAGAGTATGGGTGTGCTTACATGTATGTTTTCTTTCTTTCTATTTTTTTAGTTTTAGATTAAGATTAGAATTCAATGTTCTTTTTGAAACTTATCCAACATGCACTGATTTCAGAGTCGATGTCGTGCGACCGTTTGTAGTGGAAATACAACGAGTCATATGTGTACACATTTTGAAGCAAAGCATAGGGTAAGCGAATTGATGAAATCAATCTTCTTCCCATTGTGCTATCAACATATTTTTTAGACCAATTCCCACATCAGGAAGATAAAGGAAATCGTTGTCATTCGATATACGTCAATCCACGTACGTTGACTTTTTGGTGTTATGGCTGTGCCATAGAATTGAATCCTTTTGACAAAGATGATGCCTTGTCACAAGACGCACGTTATTATCTGAAGACTATTGTGAGATGTCTGGTGATTATTGTCTAATTCTCGATTTGATGTTATCTGTTCAGTTCATGTCTCGAGGATCCTGACTGAAGAATGATTTTTAACCTCCATTGTCAGTAGCAAGTCAAACGAAACAAAGTACAACAACAGTTCAACGATGTTCCTGGTATGATCATAGTCTCAGAGAAATTAACTTGGTGTTCCAATTTCAATAATTAACTCTTGCGAATTGGTTAAGCCAGTAATCTTTTTTCATCATTTTAGGTCTGGTCGGCCTAAAGAATCTGGGCAACACCTGCTATGCAAGGTTGGTGTGTCATCTCGAGGTTTAATTCCTCGAATTTGTCAATATTCTTTCCCATGAAGTTTCTGACAATCTTAACGTTACAGTGCAGCTCTTCAATGCCTTTCCAACACGTGAGTTTTCTTCGCACCGAGTTTAACGTAATCACTGATTGATCATTGAAGAAAGTAAACTAAACGGATTTCATAAATTCCTTAGTCCAGCATTATCGGATTTTTTTAATTATTGTGATAAGTACATTCCACGAAATGCCAACCCCAATAGGTATCCTAAGTACAAGCTGGCTGAAAAATTTCATGAATTTATGAAAGCCATGTGGAATGGTAGCAGGTTGGTGGTCGTACTTGATTGTATGTGCTCGGGCCAGAAATTATCGACAAAATATTAAGTTGTTTATTGCTGTTAACAAAAAAAAAAAAGTCCTATTTACGCCCCGGTTCAGTTGATCGGAGAGATAAAAAAATACAACGAAGTCTTTCGAGATTATTCGCAGCAGGTACCATATTATAACTTGAAGTCTTTGCTTTCAGACTATTCTAATCCTTAAACTTGCACGTTTTCAAGGATTCTGTGGAATTTCTCCGTGTTGTTTTGGATAGACTTCACGAGGAACTTCCATATCCGTCGCAAGATTTAGCGAATAACAGTAGTGGTGCAGTGAGGGCCAATAGTATAGTTAGCAGTAGTTTCACGAATGATGATAGTTCATCTACGACGAGTGTTAGTCATGATTCGAATGGATTTAGAACATCTTCCGTCTCTTCATTGATCACAGTATCTGAGAAACATGAGAGAAAAAATTCTTTGCCGATCAGTGTAATTAGTAATATTTTTCAAGGACTCTTAGAAAGCCGTATAAAGTGCTCGCGTTGTAAAAAGGTTTGTTAACATTTCCCCAGAAAATTCTTCAAACTTTTGTGGAGTCGCACTGATTAATGTTTGGATTGAATCTCAGGAATTTTCAAAAGAAGATCATTTCTATGATCTTCCAATTCAGATTGATAAAAAGTTTCGTGTAAAATCATCAGACAGCGGTTCCAGTGATTCTGTCGTTAATTCTGTAGTGGGATTTGTTGGAGGGATATTAGGGTGAGGTTTAGATGAACAATCATTTAGATTTTCTAGTGGAGGCGTATCTTAATAACGATTTGTTTCGTCTAATAATTCCGCGTGAAATAGAATTAGTGGGAAAACGTTAAAATTGCAAGACTGTCTAGCCGCATTTTGCGCTACCGAGGATCTTACGGGAGGAGACAAGTACAGATGTGATAGATGCAAGAAGTTAAGCGATTGTAAAAAAACCTTGAGAATAATTCGATTACCTGAGGTCATCTCTCTCTCTGATTATCTTCCTCACATTGGTGAATAAATAAAAGTCACGATGTTAACTAGGCGCTTTCTCATTTTCAGATATTATGCATTCAACTCAAGAGGTTCCGATATAATTCCTATATTTCGAAGATTGGAACACACGTGCAGTTCCCGATGGAGGATTTAGACATGAGACCTTACTGCAAGGAATCATTGTCAAAAAATATGGATGAAGAAAGTGCGAAATACAATTTGTACGGGTTTATACATCACCGTGGCGGATCAGGAAGTTGGTTTTTTTCTTTTTTTTTTGCGTTTCTTCTTCTCATATAACTCTTTTCTTAATCGACATTTCATTTTGTAAGGTGGGCATTATATTGCTTATGCCAAGAACCCAACTGATGAAAATTGGTATGAATACGACGACACGGTAAGTCTATCCCATTCCTCCGCTTACCCTCCACCGTTTACCCTCCACCGTTCGAGCCGGTGTTTACATTATACTGATATCTTTTCTACATAGTATGTTACTAAAAAGTCAATAGCCGAAATATCTCGACTAGAGGCATATGTATTATTCTACCAACGAACTAGTCCCAAAAAGGAGGACGAGAGGAGAGAGATTCTCGATAAAATTAATAAGGATTCGGTTGGTTTCAAATAAATCTTGTTGATTTTTGATTTTTTTTTCTGACGTTATCTTTTAATTCATTTTTGATAATCACAAATTCAAAGTCGTCCACAGAAGCCCATTTCTGGATTTCCCGATTGTGGTTTAACAGGTGGCGATTTATGATGACGGTAACATTCATTTAGTTATGGGTATGGGTCATTTGTTTGACAATGTTAAATAGGTGTCTCCATTTTCTTGTCAGCCCGGTCCTATAAGCAACTATGATTTCATTTGTTCTCATGGAAGTTAGTGTGGTTTTGTTTTCATGAAAGAATTTTTTTTTTTTTTTCTTTTCCTGCCACAAAATTCAATTATTTGGTTTGTTACTGAAATTTAGGCATAAATAATAAGAATTGTAATAAAATCTGTGACATGGTGGTCAAAGTTCCATTCGGAGTGTACAAAACTTTATCCGAGAAATATGGTACAGACGGGAGTCCACCCTTTCTTGCGAGCAGTAATGGCACCCCGGCTTGCATGATCTGTCAGGTGATTCATAATTCGTCTCAAGCTCATCTCTTTCGTCCATGCATTCACCGATATTAAATATTCGATTTGTTGAATTTCAGCAAGATGAAATGCTATTGGAGCATCGAAGGCGTAAGGAGAAAATTGATATTGATAGACTGAATTCCAAAGACATAGGTCGTGAAGAACCTTGGTATATGATAAGCACGACCTGGTTAAAGTGTTGGCACATTTTCATAGCCGGAGGTAAGATGTTTTATTTGCCTACCTCCTTTTTATTTTATCATGATTGCTTACGCTCAACCATCAATAGGACTGTTGCCTGGGTCAATCGACAATACCATCTTTCTCAGAGAAGATGGGAAACCCAGATCTGGCATGAGAAGAGGTTAGTTAGTGCGTCCATTTAATTTCCATTTGAAATACCACTCAGATATTAACAGTTGTATTGCTTAATTTTTAGGAATTCATTACAGCGCTGTAAATGTGAAAGTTTGGACGTACTTTGAACATTCTTACGGAGGTGGACCAATAGTCGTCAGAGGTATGTCTCCAAACTTTCGATACCACTAGCTCTCTCGATCTTTTTGGTTCTTTTATCTCTGCTGACAATATTATTCTGATTTCTAGCTTTCCCTGATTTATATTCTCCACCGCCTTCTAATTCCTAACTAAATATCGGGACAAATAAAGGTTTTTCCGAATTGTACAATAACTAGTTTTGTTCGATAATATTGTAATATATGAATTCTCATTTTTATACTTATTAAACATGGATTGAGGTTTTTCTGTGAATTACCTAATTGAAATAATCGACCTCGTGCCATTTAAATATTCCTCCAACTATAAATTAACGATTCTTAAATATTTTTGTCGCGTTTCAATTTAGCAAGTAGTTGTCCTGCATTGCATTTACGAAAAATATTTAACGTTGAAATAAACCCGTGTCAGAATTTGAGCAAATGAACATTCATTCAAATCTTATTCTTAGAAATGATTATCGTAAAAAATATTTAAAGAGATATCTGTTATGCCTGTCATTTACGCAATTCCTATTCTCGGAATCCTAATATTAATTATACAACGTCGGAATAATTTATGAATTATACACTGCAAGTGGCAAATTTGAATTCTATCTTATACTCTAAATTACTTATAAAGTCAATCATTAATCAATTAATCCGATCACGATTTCCATATATGTCAATTATAAACCTTAATTATATACTAGTGTTAGTTATTTTTGGATTTTGCGTGCTTAGGTAAAATATGCTTAATCCGTGACGTAATAAATAGCAATAAATCTTTTCTTTTTCGGCTTTTACTAATTCTTTTGGAACTCGTGTAGCAATGAATTTTGTAGAGATCAACCGAATCCTCATGTGTAATTTGATAAGATCATCAAAATCCACACATCACATGAGTTAAAACAGTTTGATGACAAAAAAGAAGGAATTTACCCCTTAATCTATACTGTGCATGTAAATGTTGATCACAAACGACCTCTTCTCCCCTTCTCTCCGTCATCTCTTTGTCGTCAAATGGATGACAGAAGCCAACGAGGAAGCATCCTTTCGAACGATAACCAAGGCAATAATGAACCTCCACATATAGACGTTTCGTCCACGAATAATAATGAAGATACTCACCATGATTTAAATGATAATATCAACATTGAGCCAAGACACGATAGGAGTAATGGGATTGATTGCGAATCACCTAATGAAACCACCAGCTTATTAAGCGGAGAACCTTCGAAGAAATATGGTAATATCTCTGAGAACGGGGAGTTTGGGTAAGTTTCAAAGCGAAATGCTCAATAGCTATAATGTTTTAATGGTTTTTGGGAGTATATTTTGTGTGCACGAAATGTACGTGATCCATAACTGATTTTTCGTATTGAACTGTAACAGATATAGTTCACAATTCAATCGTCGACCCTTCAATATAAGAAGACACACCTGGAATCCCATGCGATTTCCGGCGGGTGTCTTCTCCAGACCAATTCGTAGGTTCAAACAGAGAAGCGGCGTTTATGACGAAGATAAGAATGCGTTAATTCGCGAAGGTGGTGGCATCCGAGTTTGGTATGACGACTACACCACCATCGGTAAAGCAAATTCATTATTCATTACCAATGAATTTTTAAACTTCAAATCACCTCGTTAATTTAACGCACCTGTGCCAATTTCTTATCATTAGATTGGATTCATGACTATGTCAAAGAGCGTGTCCGCGTTCGTAGACTCTATTCAATTGGGGGGATTCGCGGGTACCTGAAAACTTCGTTCGATGGTTTGCAAGGATGGGTTTTGGTGTTTCTCATTGGTATGTGGGTCTTTTATCGATTCCATGGTTAAGCATATCGTGTTACGGCACGACGCTAATAAATGTTTTTATTAATCGAAAACACGCTCAGGAATCGTAACCGCGTGTTTTGCTGGTGCGGTCGACGTCGCAGCGGAATGGGGCTCCGATCTAAAGGATGGCTATTGTAACACCGATTTCTACAGTAAAAAAAGTTTTTGTTGCAAAAGTATGTGAAAATTTTCATTTTTTCTTTCATATTATGATTCGGTAGTTTACGTGCGGATGAAAAACTTTATTAGACTCGGCAGATTTGGAAGAAAGTTGTGCCAACTGGACCACATGGTCGCAAGCGCTTCATTTCGAAAGCGAAGAAGAATCATGGTGGTTTGATTACTTTGCTTATGTATTTGTTGCGGTACGAAAAATGTTCTATTTCGAAATCTTTATATACATGGTTTGGCGATACTATTTGAAACTTTGTCGAATTATCTTTAGTTTTGTTTCGCTGTGGGTGCCGCAATACTCGTGAAGTATAATTCTCTGTATGCTTCACCTTCCTCGAAAAGTTCGTCGACGATAAGCGAAAATCGTCCCTCCCATAAAAATCTTAGATCGTATGCGGCTGGCAGCGGTATTCCAGAAGTTAAAACTATCCTAAGTGGTTTCGTGATCCGTGGATTTCTTGGCATCAGAACCCTATGGGTCAAAGCATTAACTCTGGTTTGTGATTAGATCTTATTCATTCGTTTGTTCCAGAAAACGAGGACTCACTTATGTTTATTAAAGGCCATGGCCGTTTCAGCAGGACTGACTCTTGGAAAGGAGGGCCCATTCGTACATATTGCGTGCTGTGTGGGGAACGTCTTGACGCGTCTTTTTCAAAAATATAATAAGAATGAAGGCAAACGAAGAGAAATCCTTTCAGCTTCCGCGGCAGCGGGTGTGAGTGTGGCTTTTGCCGCGCCAATTGGTGGTGTACTGTTTTCGCTGGAGGAAGTCAGTTATTATTTTCCGAGTAAAACATTGGTCCGAAGTTTCTTTTGTGCTATCGTTGCTGCAGTCACTTTAAAGGTTTGCTGTTTACCCGAGATTAATTACATATGCATTGAAGGAAAAGAGACTTGTTTATTCGAGTTCAATTAACCCGACCTCTTTCTGATTATTAGTTGATCGACCCTTTTAATACGGGAAAAATTGTTATGTTTCAAGTATCATATGTTAACGATTGGCATGTTTTTGAAATTTTTTCATTCTTGATACTTGGTGTCTTGGGGGTTAGTGCATTTTAGCTTTCCGTTCATCACCTTCTGCTCGCCATTCATTCATTCATATCACTTGCACAACCTTTGAAATCTCTTTAGGGACTCATCGGCGCGCTACTATGCAGATCAATCGTTCTATACAGTAAATATGTTCGTAATAGAACTTGGCTTAGAGATTGGCCGGTGGTCGAGGTTATTTTGGTGGTGACAATTACGGCGACGGTCAACTATTTAAATAAATATACCAAGTTCGTTCGTTCATTTATTTCACTGGTCATATATTTCATCCAAGAAATACAAATTAAATTGAGTAAAAATAATCTGCTTTCCTCCCCGAACTAAATAGAATATCCAACACGGATCTAGTCCATTTTCTATTTAATGAATGCAAGAACGATTCCACCGATCTTGAAGGGCTTTGTGTGTAAGTAGATTATTGAAGGGAAAATCAGGAAGCTATAATCTAAATTGATGATGTTGATTGCTTAGGACAAACCCGGAAGATGTTGGTGCAGTATTTCGTCTTCTGGGCATCACGCTTATCTCAAAATTTTTGACCTGCATCATAACGTTTGGCATAAGGGTCCCGGCTGGGATTTTCATTCCTGCTTTGTTGATTGGTGCATGTTTCGGTCGGATGCTTGGACTTGTCGTTCAATGGTTGACTCTGTAAGTTTTAATCTTTGCCAAGATGGCCACCGTTTTTCCCCCGTAGAAAGCTTCAATACAATAATAGCACTCATTAACCAAATTATTACTGTGCATAAGAACATATCCCGAATTTCCTTTGTTTTCTGCGGTGTGTAATCCTTACAAAACTAACGATTGCATAGTGCCAGGTATTTATGCCATGGTAGGCGCAGCCGCCTCCTTAGCTGGAGTAACACGAATGACGGTTTCCTTAACGGTCATCATGTTCGAACTTACTGGTGCTTTGACATATGTTCTGGTTTGTGTTTTCTTTTTGCTTGTCGGTTTGATCTGGATTGTTTTAGTAAATCTCGCCTACCACATCTCATTCCCTAGCCAATAATGACGGCAATCATGATTTCAAAGTGGGTTGCGGACGGCCTTGTAAAGCATGGAATTTATGATCTTTTGATAGAACTCAATGGGCATCCTTATTTGGATTCAAAGGTAGAATATGTGACAGCTAAAAGTACCATTGAACTTTGCCAGAGAGATTTGGAGGTTATTGATATTAGTGAACCGAATACCATCGGAGAGCTGAAAGCAAAATTGAAAAGATTATGTAGAGTATTTTTTTTTGAGAAATTCTGAATCAGAAGCGGCATGTACTTGGAATTCTCACATCTCACTTATTGAAATGTACATATAATAGCACATTCGGGATATTCAGATGCCGGATTTCCAATAATCGATGGTTCATTGCTGGTCGGATATATTGCGTCCACAGAACTCGAACATGCCTTGAGACATGCAGATTCGTACGCTGAATCCACAAGGTGTCGTTTCAAGGAAACTAAAGAGATCGAAATCGAAATTTCGGTGGATAATGGAAATAATGCATCCAAGGAAATAGATTTTACAGTATACATGGATCAGGTATTATTATTTTCCTACTAAATTGCATGTCTACCCACGCTTAGTGGACTTATATAATCTTGGTAAAAAAAAATTTTCCATTTGTGTTCAGGCCCCATTAACGGTGTCTCAAAATTCATCGCTGGAGGTTGTGTTGGAATTATTCAAGAAGTTAGGATTGAGATATGTCTGCGTGGTAGATTGTGGACAATATGTTGGCGTCATCCATAAGAAAAGATTGTTAGCTCATTTAAGAGAGATGGACGTGATAGAAGGTCATTAACCAACGCTTTCATAAAACCCTAATTTAATAATTACAATTGCATATCTACATATTTATCTTTATTGGCGGTGAACATTGGATTCAATAGAGTAATCGAAAGAAAATCATTAATTTTAATCTCCCTCACTCATTAACTCAATGTATTTATAGCGTAGAATTTAATTAATTATTTTTCTTTGGAGAATTACTATACCGTTTGGAACTTAACTAAATAAACTTACATTCACTCTTTTGATACCCATGAAAAAGAAAGAATTTGAATCGAATACTATCCTACAAGAAAAATGCATTTGGTAACTGATGTTAGCAAACGCATCTTTATGCAATGACCCCGTTGTCAGGGTCGAGGGTGGTAGGCCACAGTGTCAGATTGACCTGACTTGGCAATTTGTGTAGGATGTTTCTTGTCCCGCAATGATCCCTGCCCATCCTTAATCTGTAATTCCTACATTGAAAGATCTTGCATTCACTAAGTCCTCCTTGATTGTTTCACATTGTTCACAGGTTTTGCTCATACAGTGGTGGCAAAAAAAATTGGCAATCAAGTGATACTATTTAAATTGAGCAATATTTATTTAATGACATTCAAACTTTTACTATAACTAGTCTAAAATAAATACTTTGTTTCACCCTTTTTATTATTGATAACTAATTTAATATGCTTTGGCATTGACTACCAATTTTTGGCATAATCTCACATTGATTTTTTCTAACTTCTCCTTTATTAAAGATATAAAAATCTCTTTTGATATGGTCTTTTTTTGATACATCAGTTTGTTGACTCTTTGTTTTACCTTTTTTTTATTGATTACAAGTTCTCAATCAAATTAAGATCTGGAAATAATTATGGCCAATTGAGCACTTGAAGACACTGATCTTTTAACAAAATAGTTGTAAGCCTTGCATTATTATCATGTTAATATATCCATGTGTTTTCAAGCATTAGATTTGTTCGCTTAAACAAATTTTTTACAATACAAATAACTATTTATAGTACCTATAAAAATAAAAAAATCTAACAATTTCTTTGATACAATATTGTTTATATATGTATTTTAAATAGATATTTAACAGTTTTTTAAGTTGGTATCTATTGTTTAGCTTTATAATAAATCTAAATTGTGTTTCAAAATATTTAAAAAGTGGTTTTATTAAAAAAAAATTGGTCTATTTTATTATTTTTTTCATATTTTCAAATTCAAATAAAACAATATTATTTATTAATTTTATAAGAAAAAAAATCTTATATGAAACATATATTTTATATTCAAGTTTTTGAAAGTTATATCTTACTATTTATAGTGAAATATTAAGAACATAATATATATTATTATTAAAACTCTTTCCGCTGATCCTTTTGCCAACCTAAAAAACAGACATTCTCAAAAAACTTTTTGTTTTTATGATAATAAAGTCTATACACTTTCCTTAACAACAC